ATTTTGTGTTTATTTTGATTTGTAAACATTGTAGGATGGTGGAATTTCAAAACATTTGTGCTACAAATCAGGTTTTCTGTATTCACTCTCTAAATAGCGCGAGTCGCGTCTGACGCTGCTCGTTGGTGAGCACAGACTTTCAAAGTAATCTTCTTCTAAATCTATTTAATCCCTCTCTGTGGATATTCACTTACAGAGAGACATTGTGTCTGTTCGCATAGAAACAAGTACTTTCCTTAAGCTCAGCAGAGTATTAGTCTTCGTGGAGGAAAGGATTGAATTTAAAGTTATTAATGTGATGTTGTATTGATTCCTAAGGTGAAATTATCTTGACCTTGCCCCTCTGCATTGGGGGTCAGAGGTCAGGGCTTGTTGGGAGAGCCAAGGTCCTGGAAGTGGTACAGATTCAGTGACACTTCAGCTGGATGTTTGCCAACACAGAGTTTGAATTGGATTTGTTTGGATAAAGGAAGGTCTCTTTGTCGAACCACTGCTCTGCAACTCATCCCCGGACAGATGTGTGCAGATGATTACAGCAGAGGTCTACAGTAAAGATTAAAGCAAAGATCTAGTTCTACAACAACAACGTCTAAGATTTGAAAATTAAACTCATGTTGACCTGTTATATAACTGTCACCAATGCTAGGAGCGTGGCTCTGAGGACGGCACTGTGGTCCACTGTTATGGTCCCAAATATCTTAATAACTATTATATGGATTGCTATGACAAGCCTAATGACTTCCTCTAGAGCCAACGGGAGGTTGACATTTGTGGGTTTTAAGTAAAACAACAACAAAGTGAAATTTACAGACATGCATGTCCCCCGTAAGATACATTTTAATAACTTGACTTTCTCAAACGTTATCACGCTACCACACAAACTAAGACGGTAAACATGGTAAACATTGAATAAAGAAACACTACACTGGCATTGTCACTGAGAGCATGAGAGCATTAATGTGAATTGATTAAGTAAACAAAATAACCAGACATACATTATATCATCTAATCACTGCACCAGATGCACAACTGCAATGCACTGTGGGTGATATACACATCTGGAGTGGCCATCATTCAACTCAGCCCGCAGAGGGTCGATGTCACCGAGTTCAATTCAGTTTTTGAGACAAATGGAACAACACTTACAGTCGCAGTGGGGATTCCCCTGAGGGCAAGTGTCGAGGGGAAGTGAACAACTACTGAAAATGTATTTTTAGCCAGCCTCTAGCCCTCTGGCTAGTGAAATATTCAGTTCAAGACATATATATGTATATGTATATATATATATATATTTGAAAATAATTGTTATTGTAATATAAATTGATTAAATGAATGAATGAAATACAGTTCTGCATTTTGCCCCTCTCTCCTCCAGTTTGCTTCCTTATGATAATTAACATAATTTATTTCTATTAGTTGTTTTCTAATTAAAAAAATCTTTATAATTGGGTACAATCTGATCATCAGCACCCAACAGAGACCTTCTGTTCATACCTGCTGCATCACGTGAGGCCTTAAACAGCCATGTGACCGTTTATATAGTCACATTCTCTCATGTGCAATGCTGTTAAATGCTGAAACTGCTGCTTGTTATAGTCATTATGATCTTTCAGGAATAAACTGACATCTCAAGTTGCAGAAATGTTAGGCCTACTTAGCTACTCCAGGACAAAGTTATACATATAACAGTTATACTGCTGTAACGCTGTAGGCTGCATTCAACACATGTAGTCGGCCTAGATGCGCTGATTTAATGTGCTAGCCCCAAATAATCTAATCCCAACCCTCCCTTCAATAATCCTGCCAGAGGGTCAGTTTTCAGGCATGTCTGCAGCACAAATAACACTCTGTTGACTGTATAGTGATTTAATATATTAATTATTTCTTCTATATGCTAGCTTATATTCTGCAACACAACACAGGTGATGTTAAGGTGCCATAAGACTCTTAGTTCAACCTGCAACCTGTGATGACAGGCAGAATTATTATTATTATTATTATTATTATCATCAACTGTCTGTATGCAGCAGATGGATAATTGCACAAGACAAACTACCCAAACTCAACATAATGTAAAAGTTTCTTCCCTTCTTCTGACTTCATTTGTCTTCCTTCATTCAATAAATTTTTTATACCAGCTCATTTCTATTCAGGACTGTAGCCTATTCCAGGATTCACTGGGTGAGAAGCAGTTTTCCCAGTTTCATTTTCCTCTCCTCAAAGGGACACTGGGGATGCTCTAACACTGTACTTTGACCAAGTGGAGGCTGTGTTGTTTTTTCTTCCTTTTTCAAGAATTCACATTTTTATTCTGAGCCCCAGCCAGGTTCAGTCTGTATTACTTGTGCCACTAAAATAAAGGAAAGTCTGCTGTTGGCACAGTGGACCAGCCACTCCATGGAAGACAAATGAAGTAATGACTTTGTGGAGCCAGAAAATTTTGAGCTGTCACACTAAAAGGAAGTTGTCTAATTAACATGCAGCGCACTCAAAGATCAGCTCTCCGGTTTCTAGCTTCAGGAGAATATAAACTCGCTGCATGATCACATTGGCTCATAAGCTTAAGAAATGTGTTGAAAGTTACTGGTTCTAACAAAATTAACAACAATTAGGGTTAAGAAAATATATATCTGTGGAGACTTTTCAATTTCCTTAACTTGACTTGAGCTCCAAGTAATTGACCCGATTGCTGACATTTCCAGCTATTAAAATTTTTTTAGTGAAAGCAGCGGCACAGAAATGAGCTCATTCATTACTTAGTTTAAGTCGGCAGCAAAACTGTTTAAATAATTTTCTTGCTGCAGTAATGACTTTTGACTTTTCATTGGTTTTTCTCCTTATATTCACCATAATTACTGACAGAAGCTCGCAGATCCATGAGTTCCCGAGGGGCCTTGAGGTATCAGCAAATGAGACCTTTTTATATCTCCAGACATTAGTCTCACTGTAGTAGATCGGTTAGTTCGCCAACCGATGACATGCTGAGGATGAGTCACGTTCTGATACTCTATAAATCTCTGTTGCATAATATTCACACAAAGCATCGCCCTAATGCATCGAATGTAAACATTTGTAAGTTAATTATTTTTAGTCTGATTGTTTCATGTGACCCTGGAGTCAGTGCAGCCTTAAAGTCTTTGATACAACTAAAGAATATGATATAATGTAATTAAATACAACATGACGAACAAAACAGAACTGATAAGAATAATCCTTACTTTGACAGAATAAGGTAACAGTAAACAACTGTTGACATACTTGCTCATTGTTTAGGGCACAAACACAATTCTCTATGTATAAAAATAATAAATAATTGCAAAAACAGCCATTTTTTCACATTAATAACGGTGAAAAAAGACCAAAATTATCATAAATCATTATTACAACCAATAAGGAAATATTTATGTTCATGTTAATTATTAATGTTGTATATATTACATACATGAATACATATATTCCTTTTATTTGATCAAAAAACAAATAAATCTGCGACATCTTATTCTAAAGTTACTAATTTTACTTAGTTATTGCTTCTTATCTATTTAATTAATTATTGTATTTTATTTATTTTATTGTTTTATCACTTCACTTTTATCATTTTGCTGGTTATATTTGTACTAATTATTAGCTTGTGACTTTGACTTGCACTATGAAAGGAGTTCAAGTTTGATTGATTTATGGATGATGATGTCAAAAAAGCACAATAATGGGAATAAAAAAAGACTTTGGGGGGATTTAAGAGAGAGGGTAGAGCAGTGTATAAGGCACTGTCAACACCAGTGACATATATAATATATAAAATCCATTATATTCAACCATGTTTGCAGTTGGAATCTGATAAGCCCTGAGCAGAAATATGCTTTATTCTCTGTGGTGTACTGTGTGTTTTTTGGGCTATAAAGGGACTGCAAACACAACGTGGATTTAGCAGGAGACAGATGCTCTTCACACATTTGTGCAATCCTGCCATCTAACATACTTCACTGCCTATCATAATACTTATAGCTCACTAACAGCCTGTGGTGCCACTATTGCCGGAGAAAGAGAGCTGTTTCTTGGCACCCGCAATGCAGAGCAAAGAGGAGTAAGCTCAGTACATCAGACTGGGGTAGCTTCAGAGTTTAAAGCAATATTGTATAATAGATACATAAAGATATTTTTCTACTCTTATTAGAATATAAAAAACAAATGAATGTGCTGCTCCTCAGATTTTGAGAACACACAACAACATACAGTTAACTGTAAAAACAAGGGGTGAATAAGCTACATTTTGAGAACTGAGGCTAAAGTGTATCAACTTTAACTTTTAAAATAATTTAAAAGGTGAAATGATGGGTCATCCTTGCTTGCTGGTTGGCTGGTTTGCATCCTGCCTGCACTGGACTGTGCTCATATATCACCTCCCTGCCTTGTCCCTCTGCACTATGTCCACTAAAGCAGAAATGCCCCGAAATGTGCAGTGCTGTGTCCAGTGAAAGCGGTTATGACCCCATCACCCAAGGCTGAATACTACCAGATTAATGTCTCCTGCATTCTCCTCCCCTCTGTCTCACTCCCACCTCCCCTTTGTCTACTTTAACACAAAGAGAAAATGCAAAAATTACCTTTTTTGTTTTTTAATTTGCATATAGAGAACCTAAATCTGGCTATATTTTCTTTATTTGTACATCCCCACATAACAAATACATTATATCAATGCCTTTTTTTACTGTGTTAACCCCTATTACATGTTCCAATACGCAAATCATTGATGTCTTGGTTAATGATGCTCAACATTTTTTACTCCACTGTGACATGTGATTGTAGGAAGCTGTGTGCCTGCAGGTCATTGTCATCGCTCTGTCATCTCATATTTTGGGTGAAGGTTGGCTATTCTGTGTGTGCATGTCTCTCTCTCTCTCTCTCTCTGTGTGTGTGTGTGTGTGTGTGTGTGTGTGTGTGTGTGTGTGGTGGGTCTAGCCTGACTGCGCGCCACCTCTCCATCAGTGCGTGTGCACGAGTGTCCGCAAAGCCGCTGCTGCTCCTCTCCAGGCGCGCAGAACCATCCCCAAACTTTGACGAGCTGTAACCTTCACCAAGGCAACAAAAACAACCTGAATTATAACAGGAAGAACAGATTTTGGGCTATTTCACAGGTTGCGTCTCCTAATTCGGGTTGATCAAGGTGAGTAAACCTCCGAGCTTGAAATTACAGTGATGTGTTTACAGTACGCATTTTTTATTTTTTTTTCCACTGAAAGGCTGAAGCTCCTGTGTTTTTATTTCCCACTGTGTTTTGCATCTACAAGTGGCTCCGGAACCGACGTGAAGTTTGTGAGGCTGTCATGGTTTTTGCACAAACGTGATAATGTAACGTTATTTTTTAATTTCTCTTAGGATTTAACTGTTTTCTTTCGTGCGTTTTTCGGGCTCAGCGTTACCTTATTTGTCCATCCACATCACTGATTGCAACACATGCATTTTTATTTTATTTTTTTATGCTTTAAAGTCTTATTTTGAAGGGTTTTGTTTTTCAACCTTACAAACAGGTGTGAACATGGAAAGCACTCCGGTTGAAATTTTCAAAGAAGACAATAAGTGCCTGTCCACGCTGCTGGAAGACTGTGCAGTGAATTCTTCATCCTGGGTGTCCGGATACTCAGACAGCCGCAATGTGACCCACGATGATAGCTGGGAGCAGGAGGGCATGTCTCCCATCATCCCCATCATCACTGCAGTCTACTCTGTGGTGTTTGTGGTGGGCTTGTTGGGCAACTGCCTCGTCATGTATGTGATCATCAGGTAAGGTCATGTTTCTCTTATATATTACTATTAAAAATCCATGCAATCATTATCCTATGCAAGAAATACACTGTAAGCTTATGTAGAAATATAATTTTATTGTGATTTTTAAAGCAGCAGTTTTAACTTAAAGCATTATCAAGTTAGAGGGATATAATCTCGGTTTGCACATGCAATGAATTATGCAATATGTTTTTAGAAATACATAAAACAACAAAGGTCCAGGCTGAGGAATGTGTTTCTCCATTGTCTCTGTAAATGTCATTACTTGTGTGGTGGAGAAGACACTGGCACCAACCCTTAGGGCTTTCACAGTGACCTCCAGGCCATCTGGTCTGTGTCATATCTCCTCAATGCCTGCACTGAAAGAAGGCATATTGCCCTAAAGCACACTCACACAGTTCACCCAAAGAAGTAGCTTGTAATGTGCGTGTAACTGGCTGGGACCACATTTAAATATATATGAGTTATATAGCTCACAAGTCACAGGAGACAAAACTGAAGTTGCATTTTGATAGAGAACGGGTTCATATCAATGCTGTTGCTTCAATATTCAATATTAAATGCATGGCAATATAGAGTTGATTCTGCTTCCTTCAATGGTCGAGAAGTGCCTGAAACCTTTAAAGTGGCCAATTTTATGAATCTAATAACCCTATAGACTGCCACCATATAATAACAATATTCTGTAAATCTCTCCCAGTCTGGTGGGCATGATATTAATCAGAGTTGAAACCAGTGGTGCTTTATCAAGCTGATAGCCTGCTTGCACCTCATTGGGCCGTTATTTATGGTGTGCGAGAGCAACAAATCTCCTCTGATGTAATGTGAAATGCAGCAGTGCCATCCAGAAGGCTTCGGTCCATAGACAACAATTACCTCAAATCAGATTGATTGCGTTGGCTGTCAGTAGAAGCCAATTTTATCACTTCACTTCCAAAAGATACTGTACGTTTTACCGTTTAGTTGCATCCATTCAAGTGAAATAAAAAAGAGGTTTTGTGTTGATTCAGAGCAAACAAATTTCTGAAATTACCCTCATCCAAAACACTTAAAGTCAACATAGACCACACATTAGACGTTGAGCTATCTGCTATAGACTACCTGACATGGCAGTGCAACCCTCAGGCTTTAAATGGGTTGTACTGTTAAAGCCACTCTAATCAATAGTTTTGTATTAACAATAGATCAAGTGACTACATGTAATGTGAAAGGTGGCACTGGTAGTTAAATACTCACACATAAAGATCACCCAACTCTACAGTTTTTAGCGTCTTTCAGCTTTTTGTTTTGGTTTCTGATTTGTTAGCAAGGTAGAAAAGTTAGCATTTAACAGCTAAAGAGTCAGATATTTCCCTCAGGAGTTGGTGGACAGTGAAACTCAGATAGAAAGGAGAAAGGAGAGTGAATGTTGGAATTTCATTTGGCAGAAACTCCAAATGAATGCTAATGTTGTTTGTCAAAAGATGTGTGCAAAAATGTTCAATATGAAGCTACAGCTAGCAGGTTTTGTACGGATTAAAGAAACAAGATGTGTTTATTAGTGAGCTTTAGATGTGCAGGTATCATATTGTTACCTTTAGACAGCCGTTTCCGCCTGTTTCCTGTCTTTATGCTAAGCTAAGCTAATCGGCTGGTAGCAGTTGCTTCATATTTGACTTTCAGATGGAAAGTGGTATCAATCGTCTCATCTAACTCTTGGCAAGAAAGCAAATTAGTATATATCACAAAATGTTTAATTATTGCTTGAAGGCTTTCAGCCTCTAAAATAATCTGTTGTCATCAGCATATATGACTTTATTGAAGGATTTATTCAATGGAAAGAGAAAGAATTTAGATTTGATTTTGAGTAATAAATTATCTTTTTGGCCACAATTAGACATCAGTCACAAACACAAATGCAGTTTTAATGACAATAGACAATAAACAAGCACATACTGTCTGCTGCTTGCAGTGGAAGAAACACGTGTGACTTTGAAACTTTGCTGTTATAATGAACATGTGTTTATTGTTAATATTAAATCACCATTAATCAGAATAGGCAATTCTGAATCTTATTTTAATCTCAATGCTTCAGTGCTTCATTACATCCTCTAGGCATTACCACTGGTAAAAATTAACACTTTAAATTACATTTTAAATTAAACTTTGCAAAAGTAATCATATACTGCTTTAATGCTATTATAATTTGATGAGTTGAAAACAAGTTGATTATACATGGCCTGCAATCAGCAGCGTATTATACATAACAATGAAGTGTGAGTCAGAAAAATTACATTACAGATTCAAGGAAGCATTCTGGACTAATGGACAATGTTTAATTCATAATGAGCCAAGAAGGAAGGTCTTCTAAAGAGTCAGTCAAGACAGTATATGACAGCCATGTCCAGTGTGGATGGAGGGTTAGCTCTGGTTGCCTTTATCCACCTCCCTAATACAGGACAAACTTGTGTTCTGCATGTTTAACAGGTACACAAAGATGAAGACAGCCACCAACATTTACATTTTCAACCTAGCCCTCGCTGACGCCCTTGTTACCACCACAATGCCCTTCCAGAGCACAGACTACCTGTTGAACACCTGGCCCTTCGGTGAGGTGGTGTGCAAAGTCTTCATCTCCATCGACTACTACAACATGTTCACCAGCATCTTTACTCTCACCATGATGAGCGTGGATCGCTATGTGGCCGTGTGCCACCCGGTGAAAGCCCTGGACTTCCGCACTCCGATCAAAGCCAAGATGATCAATGTGTGCATCTGGATTCTGTCGTCAGCCGCGGGGATACCTGCTTTTGTTCTGGGTGGCACCCAGACGAAGAGCGGTGAGGAAGTGCTTTTCACCTTCCATGTGCAGGAAATATTCAAAATAAGAGCATTAATGTATTCTATCAAGTCCATCAGTGCAGAGTTTTCTATTAGCCACACATCATGCATCATCCCTCCTGAATATAGATGATTATTTTAGAGCAAAATATTCCCATTTGAGCTGCTCCTTAACTGCTTGCTAAATTGGTAGCAGAAAGACAGAGTGGAATTGTATTTATCATAAAGCCACAGGTGCACTTCATTCCTTAATTCACATCCTCTCCTTCCTTCTCTCCTTTGCTCCTGCAGACATAACTGAGTGTGCCTTACAGTTCCCAGAGCCGTACGTGTACTGGGACACACTGATGAAGATATGTGTGTTTGTCTTTGCCTTCGTCGTGCCTGTGCTCATCATCACCGTGTGCTACTCCCTCATGGTCCTGAGGCTGAAGAGTGTCCGAATGTTGTCCGGCTCACGGGAAAAGGACCGCAACCTGCGCCGGATCACGCGGCTGGTGGTGGTCGTGGTGGCCGTGTTTGTGGTCTGCTGGACGCCCATTCACATTTTCATCCTGGTCAAGGCGCTCGTCAGTGTCCCCGAAACCACCGCCATCATGGCCGCCTACTTCTTCTGTGTGGCTCTGGGCTACACAAACAGTAGCCTCAACCCTGTCCTCTATGCCTTTCTGGATGAGAACTTCAAACGCTGCTTCAAAGACTTCTGCCTCTCGGCCAAACTGAAGGGGGACAAGGTGTCAGGGAGCAAGAAGAACCCCAGCACTGTGCGGGAGGCCGCTGTTCCCCTGGAGAACCCAGATGGGACTAGTAAACCCACATGACTAGCAGTGGAACTGTCTTCAATTTCTCACATTGGAAAGGAAGACTCGCATGACCTGGGCCTAACCCACGTCACATCAACAATGTAGACTAGTTTTGAGAAGTTGACTCGATTTATTTTCATTGTCACCTGGGGGTTCAACCAGTGCCAACACTGATATGATTTCATTTCAGAGATCAAAGAAAAGTTACGCATTATAAATTGTATTTCATATTTTCCATAGATCCACATAATCAAAAAACACCAAGCTGAAGTTATTGTCATGCGGAGGGCATGACAATAACTTCAGCTTCCACTTTGCTGTGACTTTTTCTCACTCTGATTCATTTTTATTCCTCTTGGCAGTTGAACAAAATTTGGTTAAAGCTGTAAAAAAGATCAAATGTGGCGGCATCTATTTTCTAACCATCTTCTGTCCTTATATATAATATATATAATTAAGAAAGGACTGCTCATTGAGTATATATAGATTACCATGATATAATGCCAACATTTCTCAGGAAAATGGTAGATTATTTAATGGAAAAATTAGAAAGAGACTGATCTGTAACATTATTGGCTCCTGTTGAGTTTCATACAGTATACTTGTTACATCAATGTTTTTAATGCTAGTTTAATTGCATTTTGTTTACGCCTTTCTCAGATTTTATGTATTCCTGACATTTCCTCAAATCATTTTTCTATTGCCAAATGTGCCTTTAACAGTCCAGGATAGCACATGTTTGCAGCAGCAGAAAACGATTTAAGTAATGACAACTGAATGGGGTCCAACCGCACTTCATGCATAAAGTTTTCTTCATGCAGTTAACACGCAGCTAGGTGGTAGTTGCATGAATCACTGACAGCCGATATGTGCCGAAATCCTTTTCACCTGTGGGAAGAGTTTGGAGTGTGCTGATTGACCACAATGTGAGAGAACTGACTCAACTGACTTTGAAGTGGTTGGGAGGTAAACAAAAAGTTGCATCAAAAGCAAGTTTATGGCTGATTAAAGTTAAATCCTGGACTTGAATGTGCATTTAATATTTGACAGAGGGCTCTCTATCAGCTTTGACTCTGGAGTTGTGTCCAGTTGGATAAGTTGTTCAATTTATGGTATATAACTCCATCACATGTGCTGTTTATGGCTTTTACCATGATAAGCATCGTCCTATGGAAATACTCGTGCTAATATTGTAGAGAAATGTTCTATCAGCGCAATCTGAAAACATGAATATCTGTTTAAACAAAGTTGTTCACATTGTTAAACACAATTTATTCTGCCGACTGTACAGTATTATAGTATGTATGTATACATTATTTTGTAAAGATAAGAAAAAGGGTTGCACAGACGTCATGGGAATAGTATTTGTAGCATGTCAACAATCATTGCTATAATTGTATAATGCAACATCGGCAGCCTATATGCTTCATGGACTGTGCTGTTATTTTGAATGTATTACAAATAGACTGTATTAAATAAACATATCCATGGTAAATAAATTCATTTGTCTCATTAGAGGAGAACTTCAGCTAATATTTAAGTCATTCAGTAATAAACGTAAACCATTTGAAATCATGTCCCTAAACCAGAGCTTTGTGGGTTTTGGGGGAACTTTATTTTAAGTGTTGATAAATCTCTAATCACATCATTATACTGGCATAAAATATTTATAGCACATTCTGTTCCTTGACAAAAAATAAATAAATAAGAGACATGATTCTAAGAAACTACACTGTGACCAAAACATCTTTGTTTGTTTTGTTGTTGTTTTTTTTTCAATCTCTGTGCTTACTGTTTAAATCTGCTGCTGCTGTATATTGGCTTTGTCTGCTGGCAATTGAACCGCAGATGTATTGATCAAAACATCCTGTGTGTGAAGTGCTTAATATTAAAGCGAGTTTGACAAATCCATGTAGATTCTCTTCTCTCAAGCTCATCTTTAGTTTTTATGTCATTTTTCTGCACAGGTTTGAGTTTTAGTGGGAGGGCGAGAGTCTTCTGCAGGTGTAGATTTTGTGCTTTATTGTAAGCCAGCAGCTCCCTCCAGAGGAAGTAAAATGTAATTACTATGACATATGTGTTCTGATTTAAAAATAAAATAGTTCAATGCACATAAGTTGACATAAGCAGATGGTTCACTGCAGCCATCCACATTAATGCTTAAATTATTGGCTCATAATTGATTATCTAATCAAGAGAAAATTATTATAGTTTTTCAATAAAACCTTTACTGGTCATAGTTTCATTAGCAAACTGTTTGCTTTTCTTCATCTCATATCCAAACAAATTAAAATACTTAAATATAGATAAAGTAGTAACCATAAAGCATTTAGTTTGAAAACGAATCAGTACTTTTAATCCATATAATAAAAAAATACAACCTTCCTCTTTTTCTTTACTCGACGTTGCCTGAGATGTTTCTTTTTGTCATTTTGTTTTAATGTGCTGCCTTTTGTAAAGCACTCTGCCACACGTTTTTTTTTTTTTTTTTTTTTTTAAAGGTGCACTACAAATAAATTAATATTTTCTTTTAAGGTAACTCCATGTAAAATGAAATGAAATAAACCCAACTATATCAGAAGCACGCTGTCATGGCTGTGGGGAGGCACGCTCATGTTGTGGCTTTAATGTGAACAGATTCAACCCCTGTCCAGATGTGTTTACACAGAAAACCAAACAAAAGAGTAAATTTCTGGTAGTAAAACATTAATGAAACTGAGAAAAAGAAGAATATGAAGGACTGGATTATATGAGAATGGAGAAAGCAGCTTATACCCTGCAAGGAGAGAGAGAAGAGAACTCTATGGTAAAGGACATAAATAAAACATATAAATTAAGGTAGACATGCCACTGACCCCACCCTTTGTTATATTGTGTTACTGTTTATTTAACCGGGTTAAACGTTAAGAAGCCCCTTTCTGTTTAAAAAAAAATATATAAAAATAAATATATATATATATATATATATGTATGCATTATATATATATATATTCCAAAAGATACAAACACAATAAACTAAAAATAAATAAGAAACAACAACAACAACACTTCGGAGGGGCGCGGCTGAGCGAGCACTGATCACCTGACTCCTCTGACGTCACGGAACAGCCTTCTCTTCCGGGTTTGTCTCCGCTCCGCTCGGAGGTTTTGGACGGTGGCTGCGAGCTATCAGCCTTCTTTGCGTGGATAAAAAACCTTTATTTCGCCGACATGAACCGCATATTCGGCAGCGGGAAGCCCAAAGCTCCTCCGCCGAACCTCTCCGACTGCATAGGAAACGTGAGTTTAATCGTGGAGTAACTTTTTGAGCGTTGTCTTTTATTAAAACCCAGTAAACAAAGATGGAGCCTCCTTTTTCTCGGTTAGCTGTAAACTGAAAGAAGGCCAGTGTTTGCCATGTTGTCACAACAACAGAGAGGATTATATTTAATATAATTTGTGGTATTATTAACAGCAGTGTATTGATAGCATCTATCGATAAGTAAGGTATTTAACTTGAACAGTGGGTTTTTGTCTGTTCAGATCATGAATCAGCATTATGTCATTTCGAGGTATTTAAACCATTTAACTGTCACACACCAGAAACCATGTCAGTCTCTAAGTGAACTTCAACCAGTTATACAGGTTATTTGTCTCAGCAGAGCTATTATTAGCTCCCAGACAGCTGATTTCACTCAATTAATCTACTGTATATGTGTATTTTAAAGGGAAAACCGTCTATGCAATTAATCAGCTCATGACAATTGGCTGTATTTATTTTAAACAACCCCTTGTAAACATCATCCTTTATGTGTTTTGTTCTCTTTAAGGTTGATTCTCGGTCAGAGTCCATTGACAAGAAGATCGCCAGACTAGATGCAGAGCTTGTGAAGTACAAGGATCAGATGAAGAAGATGAGAGATGGACCCTCAAAGGTGGGATTTATTGTCCAGTGCCGCTCTAACACACACACACACACTATAAAGGAATAGGTTGTTTTCATGAAGTCCTTTAGGGTGCTACAAGCCAGGACCAAAACTCAACTCACATACAAGTATAAAGTGAGCGTTTACATATGTTTCATCTTATATTTTAGTTTTTATTATAACACACACACACACACACACACACACACACACACACACACAGAGAAAGGCAGAGCCAAATACACGAGTGTGTGTAAGTGGAGAACTGGTTATTAAAAAGAAAACTGTAAGAAGCACATTTGTGATATCTCGTCCAAAACTTTTATGCTGTAAAATACGTTTTATGTAACTAACTTTAACAAAATGCAGTTTAATATTGTCAAAATTCTTATTTAAATCAGGAATATCTGATCAAAGTTGGTACCAAAAACGTAGTATTGCTTAATGTTCTGCCTTACTCATCATATACTTGGTTTTATTTGTTTTAAATGTATTTTAAATCTTTTTTAGAACATGGTCAAGCAAAAGGCTATGAGAGTCCTGAAGCAAAAGAGAATGTAAGTCATTTTATTTTTCAAAGCCAATTATATTATTAAAACTAACCTTTTATAAGCTTCAAATGTTTTCCTCATCGATCACAGTTATCCTCTACGTCAACTGTATTTCATCATCCAGGTACGAGGGCCAGAGAGATAACCTCATGCAGCAGTCGTTCAACATGGAACAAGCAAACTACACAATCCAGAGCCTTAAAGACACTAAAACCACAGTAAGAGAGCAAACAGATGGGATTGGTTCTCCACCCAAAAAGATACATCTGGAAGAAAATGTGTCTTTCTGTTAACATTTGCTCTTTCTTTTTAGGTTGATGCCATGAAAACTGGCCTCAAAGAAATGAAGAAGGCATATAAGAACGTGAAAATTGATAAGATTGAGGTAACTGACTACAGATTTACTTCAGTAGGAGGGCCACAGACCCTGTAATTAAAATAATTGATATCAGCAGATAAGATGGTGTCACAGTGGATACATTTGTAAATATCTATAGATAATGCATCCTTATTCTCCTAATATGGCAGTCACACATAAAAAAAACATCATGGGCTCTTGTATAGAAGTGTTGAGGGTTATCTAACGTGACAGAAGTTAATAAAGTTACTGTAGCAGATCAAAAAATAATGTTTTAGTTGTGAGTTTGGGAGAATGTGTTGGACTTGCATTAACTTTTTGTAGGGCATTCACTACAATAGACGTGTTTGTGATTCTCTTACAGATTAGATGGATGAGATATAAACATTTTAACTCTTTTATTTTCTTTAATATTCAGGATATTCAAGATCAGCTGGAGGACATGATGGAGGATGCCAACGATATCCAGGAGGCACTGGGCAGAAGCTACGGCACCCCGGAAATTGATGACGATGACTTGGAAGCGGGTCAGTAAAATATCTCAAAGCCAGGATTTTTCCAGTGTTACAAAGTTTATATAGAATTTAGCCAAAGACCATCATTACCATTCATTTGCTATGCATCCACAGAGCTGGATGCTCTGGGAGACGAGCTCCTGATGGATGACGACAGCTCCTACCTGGATGAGGCTTCAACAGCTCCTTCCATCCCGGAGGGTCTGCCTGGAGACAAATCCAACAGGGTACTTCAGTTTCTGGAATCTTAACGATGAGTTCTCCCATTAGTTCAGAGGTTTCTTTTATCCACATTTCTCTTTTTGTGTTTTCAGGACGGTGTTCTGGTGGATGAGTTTGGCCTTCCTCAGATTCCAGCTACATAAAAGGAGCGATGAGACGACCAACGCTGTTTTTACATGTATCATAGCCTTTTTTCTATTTATCCAACTGACACTCCCAGGCTTAGACGGTTAGTGAAAATCAAAGCATCTTCTGTCCAAAGAATGGTTGATAATGATTTGCTTAAAATCAGACGTCTTTGATTAAAGGTTTTATTATTCTATAAGTGAGCTAATGTCATATATATCTGAGGTGATTGTTGGAATCGGGATTCTCTTAACTTTGTACAGTTTCTGCAGCGTTGAGTTGCTAAGAACTAAATAAATTATATTTTTCAAATGATGAAATAAAAAATTGAAAAAAGGATTTGTACAAAAGTCACTTTATTTTGAAATTAAACACATGAAAGTGCAGAATCAATAACATTCATCTGGTAATGACTGTTTTAAGAAAAATAAATATCTTAGGCTCAACATTCAAGATTCATCCATCCCATTCACAACATTATCATCACCAGTTCAGCCTGTAAGTGTGAGGGAAGAGTTTCTGGTGCAGATACTCCACTACCTCGGACTTGGTTTGCAGTTTTTCGAATTCATAGTAAGGAATCTGAAAGAAAAAACATAATTCAGTCACTTCATACAAACTAATAAAGAAAAGAATTTGACATAAAAAAAAACAGTGTAAAAACAGTCATAAGGTCCTTGTATTTTTTATGTACCTTTTTAGCAGCACATAATACACAGATCTAACAACCAGTCAAACATAAAGCCCTCTGGAAGTAAAATACTTTGTTGTCCAAAATAAATGTGACTGAACTTTTTGTGTCCCTGTAGATCCACAGTGATCTGTAAATAACAGTAGACTGACTGAATGCAGATAAACAGACACATTGTCATCTGTTTGGTAATGGTTCATTCAATGTGAACATTTTCAGAATATACTTCATTACAACAAAAGAAAGGGAACAATTTGGAGGTGGTATTAATAGGTACTTAAGTAATGGTTTTACTGGTCTGTCTGTGGCCTGTGAAAGCATAAAAGTGAAGGTGAGGGTCTAACCTGAACAACTTCATATCCCAGGAGCCTCAGATGTCGCTGCTTGATGGCCTCTTTTCCAAGCAGCTGCCTCTTTATTGTAGTGAACCTCGTCTGTCCGTCAATGCAGACAGCCATCCTGCGACACACACCGAACAACATGTTTACACCTGTTGTTAAATCACTCTGCCTGACCGTCCAGCTCTCAAAGATTAACTTAACGTTTAAAATTCTAAATGTAGTAACCTTGTATAACATATATAAAATCATTTACCTTTTGTACACATCTTTATTATGACTGGCAGGTAGCATGAATCCATCTTCATCAAGTTTTAGCTCCACATCTACAGGAACAAAAAACAAACATCAAGCCCATTGTAGGTGGACTATAGGAGACGTGAAGGAGAAAACCAGCTGCTGACGCGTGTGTTACCGAGTGTGTAGCAGTACGGCGTCAGAACTTTGGATCCAAAGAATGAACGACCCCCGAGCAAATGCGCCAGTCCAGCTTGCACAGAGTTGTACAGCTGTACATCCACGGGCGTCTCCAGAGAGCGTCCTGACATGAGGAACGTCCTGACGTGGTGCTCCGGAAGGAGCCTGGGACCCTGAGGAGGAAACGGGAGTAAAAGGAACACAAGTACATTCACACTTTGCATCAAACTAAATACACCTGACAACATGGAAGGAAAAAGCAAAGACTTTTCCAATGCACAATGGTTTCTACAGGTTTCAACAGGTTCAATTTAAGACCAATTTCACATCCATACTGGCAAAAAAATATTAAGTATATGAAGGATAATCTGTATTGTTTCATTGTGTAGCTGTTACAGCATGATCAATACTAATCTTCCCCCAAAAAATACATTTAAAAGGAAGGTTGAAAAATGCAATGTCTTACAAGTAGCACAATATTTCCAGGTGATTATACACTAATGAAAACATACCTATGCAAATGTAGGTGTATATATAATGTTAAGAAGAATGTCTTAATCTTTTTTGGCTATGTCTACAGTATATCTCACTGGGATCAAATGGGACAAATTTAAAACCATTGCAAAACCGCATGCAACTTGCATTAGCAGCCCTAATTTTTAGTTGTAAGTATATTTTTCTGATTTCTCACAGATGTTTCTGACCAAAACATCAACGTATTTCCAGGAAAGCTACAGTGGAATCAGGATGTAAAAGATCTGTTTTGGTCCCAGAATGAAAGCACAAGCGCATACGTACCAAACCATGTTAAGTAAGACACAATATTATTACAGATACCTGGAATGCATTGAACCTCACAAACAAGTAAGAGGGTGTGTATTCACGTTGGTGACTGTGCATTATTCCTTTGTCTTTCTGTTGGGCTGGCCTAATCTCTCACCGTTGACACAGTTTTACATATTTTACCTTATAGTAAGGACACTCCAACTGCAAAGTCATGTGGAGCTGGGTCAGCTGTGCCTGGACGAACCAGTCTATCCCTGTGCCATGATCTGGAACACAGTTAATATTATATATACAGCCCAATATCACAAATCAAAAAATTAAAGAAATTCAATATATGAAACAATATTAACATCAGACAATTATTTTTAATCATGCATTTGTGGAAAGGTTGCACATATTGCAGGTGTCTGACAGGATGTTTTACCTTGCAGTTGCTGGAGGAAGTAACTGCTGAAAACCTTGGACACAAAGTTGACAGGGTACCTCTTCACCAGGGTGCAGGAGTGGAGCAGGTTGAGCAGCGTTCGAGGCTGAAACTGGGAAAAGCGTGATTGCAGGATGCTTTCAACTTTCCTGAATACCTCGCCGGCATTGGGAGGAAGGTAGCCGAGCTTTCCAAGAGCCATGATGTGCCTGGCCACCTGGCTGGTGTTGTAGTCACTTGCTCGGTACACGAAGCTCTCTGCAATGGCATCAAACACAGTCGGGGACAGGATGTTCCTCCGGCCAAAGAACTGAATCACCTTGGTTACCGTCTCTGGGTCGGAGGTGAAGGCCATTGTGGGAACATACCTCTCCAGCGCCTCCACAAACTTATGATCGCTGTGACCAAAGTGCATAAGGGCCCCAAGCACAGTAGTGAGCTCCTCATCAAGGAAGTGAGGTACATGCTGTACAGCCTGCTTACACAGACTGATCACAAGAGGCATGGTCTTTGTCTCAGGCAGGGTCATGAGAGCACCGAGCAGCCCGCTGACGGCAGCGGGGTCCATGTGGGGGGTAAGTTTGATAGTGTGGGTGTGTATGGCCTTTAGCAGATTCCAGTATTTTTTATATTTAACCACACCTGTTTGCATAAATCTATAAACAGCAGTGAGATCTGCTAAGCTCCACTGGGCATTCTTCTGTTTCTCGATTTGCTTTATCACCTGCACCAGCATCAAACTGTTGGGACCCTCAATAGCCATCATCGCATGGCCCAGGGTGCACAGCTGCCCTAACGTCATCTTCCCTCTGTCTAACCTCTCCTGGCTTTCAGACACCAGCCGCACCATCAGAATGCTCCACGGATCCAAGAAGAGGCGAGTGCAGGCGAGGAGAGCTGATACCAGCCCGGCATCCGTCAGCCGCCTCGAGTCCTGCTCCAGCTGGAAGCACAGAGCTTTGATGGTGTCGTTCTCCAGCACTCTGGGGTCCTTCAGAGATTTATCCCCTTGCTCCAGGTCGGCCACGCGGTGAAGCCCTGCTGCAGCCATGGTGTCGGACATGATCTCCGCCGAGCACAGCAGTGTCAAGACCTGCTGGGAAGAGGAGCAGTTATTTAGGAGCTTCTGGAAACTCTCCTCCTCTGCAGCTGTGGGCGGGTGCAGCTGGGTCAGACGGAACTCGGGCCCTGAATCTCTGTGGAGTCCGACAGAGCTGCTGGCGATGAAGGACGGCTCCCTGATGATGGTGGTCAGGTTCCTCCTCCCGCAGTCCTGCTGGGGCTTCTTGCAACCCTGCGTCTGGATGCAGCCGCCAGCTGAGGTGCACGAACAGACTCCACATGAGGGCTCACCTACACTGCTGGTTCTCAGGAGCCTGGTGGAGCAGACGGGTCCAACAGGAGGGTAACGTTGAATGCGGAACTGCCTGAGCAGCGGATACCTCTGGATCAGCTTCAGAGCCATGAAAAGTACTCCTCAGACCCAGCTAAAACAATGAAGAAAAAAAACTTTAAAAACAAGAAAAGTTTTTGGTTGTGATCCATCAAAAGTGTAATACCTTCATAACCTTATACCTGTATTTGTTTAGTAGGCTCACACTGGGTTTCTATGTGTATTTGCTATATGAATGTCATATAACAGCAGTTTAATGCCCTCAGAGGACTGGATGATGTTATCTCTCTCTCTCTCTCTCTTACCCCAAAGCTAACAACTGTACCAACAACATGAACTGTGTTGACCTCTCTATTCAATCACAAAAACAAACAAGAAAAAAAAAAAAACCCACACCACGAAACTAAAATCAAAGAACAAAGTCAGCAACAGACAGTCTTCCTCACTCAGCCTCCTCCTCGTCACTCTCCTGTTAACTAACCAACCTTGAGTTGGCTGTCGGCTACCGCTCGTAGCTTAGCTTAGCTTCGGGACCAGCCTGGAAGAGCTCGTATTAACGTGTTTCTTTTTAAAAAAGCTGATATTTTGTGTGTGAGTGATGAAAGTAAAGAGCAAATAGACAGGATGAAGAGCAGTGTAAGTCGTACCTGGACGTCCCGTTAACGGCAGAAGGGTCACAGGACGGCTGACGGGAGCGTTGCTGTCATAACGTGGTTCCATAAGGACTGTGAGGCGTTCGGGGAACCTCGTAAATCGGTACTTTGGTTAGTTGGTGTGAGAGTTGTCAAAAGTGTTTCATGCGATTTGAAGTAAAATAATAAAATGATGATAACTTAGCCTGGATAATATATTTTTTTTTATGTTAAGTCAAATGTACGAGGTAGAAACGAACCTATAAGATAGAGAGTCAATATTTTGATATAAAAAGTAGAAATAATGAAATAAAAATACATTCTTTAGAGATAAAAAGTCTAAATTATGAGTTAAAACACATAGATGTGAGAAATTATGACATAAAACATTATAAAGATATAAAAAGTCAAATATATTCAGATAAAGAGATCATCTTTTTTTTAAGTTTGAAATTATGAGATAAAAAAATATGACTTTTAATCTCAAATTATATTTTTCCACAGGGATATTTTTATTATCAAGGCTGAGTTTTAATCTGTTTTATTTATTTTTTTTATTTTACTAGCGGGAAATGGGCTTCCATAGATTCAAATTGACCATGTAACAGAAATACTGTAGAAAAATCAAGTAAAGTAATACTTCCACAGCGACTGAAGAAAACTTTAACCAATACTAGACAGGGAGTTGTTGTTTGATTAACACTGGCTGTAAAAAAACACTCCTTTATGAAGCCTTATCTAATCTTTAACTTGACTTTTGACCTTTGAGGGACTTTCCGACGCCATGTGAAGGCAGCACTGCGCAGTTTGAGACGCTCATTCAGACATTGACAGTGTCAGACACCAGAGGGCGATATGACCCATAAATATAACTCCAAATGAATATGGGCCTATTGGTTTTGTTTACATTTGATCAGTTTTAGTTATTTGTACACCTGAATCAATGATTCATATCAATAAAGCTCCAGCTCCATCCTCAAAACACCTGCGATGGGCCTGTTTAATAAGTTGATCCCATTGTGTATGTAAAATCTAATTAACTAGTAACTATAGCAGCTTAATTTCACTACATTTAGTGAAGTAAAGCGTACAATATTTCTCTAATATCTAGTGGAGGGTAAGTATAAAGTAGCATATTTGAGTTTATACTTAATTAAAACACAAGCACCTCATAAGTGTACTTAAATACTTAAGTAAATGTACTTAATTTCCCCCACTGCTCCTCAATAAAACCCACTTTTGGCATTCATCCGTTTAAATTGTGAACTCATGTGCTGCGGCTAAATCAATCGTGACCTGATGCAGTCACAGGATGGGATTACTTTATCATGCTTGTCTGATAACACAAGTGTTTTCCCTGTGTTTGGTAAAGATTTTCATTACATAAAGCCATCCCTCTGTCAGAAACACACGATTGCATGCAGGTGATCACTGTATTTGGGCAGCATCCCCTTGTTTGTATTCATATTACCTCACCTGCCCCTTCTCCAGAGAGAATTCAGCCGGTGCTAGTCACCACACGCTGAATGAATTTGTTGAGGAGGGAGAGAAGACTTGTTGAGACTTGACAAGCACATGAGGAGGGGAGAGTGGTGCATAAGCGTTTTAGTTGAGCCTCAAGGAAAAATAACGACAGAATAGTTCAACACTTATTTCAGTTGTCATTTATGGAAGGGAAAAACAGTCAGCAAAGTACAACTTGATAGAGGGCTTTTATTTAAAAAGTTTATATTATAAAATGTAAAAATTCAGCTAAACCCGATCACATGGATTGCAAAGACTTATCCCTTAGAGCTTCCAAGGTGCTGCCACTTCACATCTTAACATGACAGAAAAAAATAATATTTCACAACCTATTTTTTCTCCTCATTTGAGATGTGTACATTTGGCAATACTGGAAGTTCACAACAAACAAAAAAAAAAAACAGTGGATAGTTATTGCTTTGGTTTGTTTAAAATGGGGGTTTATACTGGAGAAGTTGAGACATGCAGCACGGTGATCTAGCTGACAGAAGAGGCGAAGAGGGTGGAGGAAGGAGTTTACGCCGGCACGGCTCTTTAATCGTCCTTATCCTTGGCACCGTGCTTTAGGATGCGTGTGAACTCCACATAGTTGAAGTTGCTTTTCTTGTCAATGGGAGCCTCCCTGAAGAGCTCGTCCACCTCCTCATCTGTAAACCGGTCACCCATTGTTGTGAGCAGCTCTCTGAGGTAATCTTCCTGGATGAAACCTGAGGGGGGAAACCAGTCAAATCAGTTAAGGCTCAGACAGCCTGAATAAACACCACGGTCATCTCCTGAAGAATTTACTCCTAATGGCAAAGATACAATTACTATTTTAAGTCAGGCAACTTTATTTGTACCATTGTACATTAACACCTTTCAAAACAGTTACAATTCAAAGTGCTACATATTAAAAAAAAAAGTGAGGAAAGACTACAAACAGCCAAATAAAATAAATTAAAATATTATTTTAAAAATGTACTTTCTTTTCCGATGTGACTGAGAAACTATAATTTACCTGTGCCCTCCTCATCGAAGCAAGCAAATGCGTTTCTGATCACATCCTCGGGGTCTGTGCCATTGAGCTTCTCCCCAAACATGGTGAGGAACATGGTGAAGTTAATGGGTCCGGGAGCCTCCATCATCATGGCCTCCAGGTACTCATCAGTTGGATTTTTCCCTATATAAAAAAGACCGATAAGGTGCACTTAAAAAAAACCCTGAGTGGTTTTGTGCAGTTAAGTTCAGAACAGTTTACAGCCTCTTACCGACATGTTGGTGCAGCTCAACCTGAAATAAAAAAACTCTCTCCCTACTCACCCAGTGAGGCGAGCATGTCGTGAAGATCCTCTTTGTCCACAAACCCGTCCCGGTTCTGGTCAATCATGTTGAAGGCCTCCTTGAACTCCTGAATCTGAGACTGGTCAAACATGGCGAAGACATTGGAGGTGGCGCGCTGGGGGCGCTTCTTTGTGGTCTTTCCCTTAGCCCTTTTGCTCGACATTTTGACTGTTTTATACCTGTGAAAATAAATTAAAAGGTTAGATTATACATTCATTATGACAGCCAGGAGCTTACTCCTTAAAGACAACGTTTCCATATCTTACTACAGTTCAGCAGGAGTGGGTTACTGAAAGCTCACACACTTCTTGACTTAACTTCTTTAGCTACAGTGACATAAATCAACAATAGTAGAGAGAGTACACTAGAAAATGATCAAGTATAGGCTTGACAAACCCATGAATCACTCAATCTGATCAAAAGGTAAAAGGGATCATGCTGCTGTTACTCAAAATAAGATTTGGTCATTCATGCCCACAACTCGGTGGCAGGGTATTTTAATTCTCTGGCAGTGATTCCCCTGTGTGGTGTCCTTCACTGAGCTATAAATGGAAATGTTCCTCATCTTTCTAGGTTGATCAGCTCACTGGCTGCACTTAAGGGCAGGAAAATTACTGATGTGAGGACAGATGCCCTTATCAGGCAATGTCTTGAATGTAGACTGAAACCGTCCTACGCTCACATCTTTATGTTGATGGATGCTTATGTTTGAAAACGGACCGACGTGGACGTCAAGTATTATCTGGATAGATATGTCAGTCAATATGGTGACATGGTGAGATATTAACTACGACACTGGGAATCATAAAAAGGCTCCATGAATGCTCGGTGATATAAAATAAATTTGAATTATCTGAGTTAATGCAAATAACTACAGTTTAATCTGATTATTTAAAAGGCACATTTTAACTGCTTCTTTGTTCAAATTCAACAGGAAATAACTATAATGTGTGCTAGCAAACTTTAATGTATTAACTGAGCATCAATACTGTTGGGGGCAATCATTGGGTATCGATTTACTGATTGATAAACTGATCGATTCATCAATAAGGATGACACAGCTACATAGCTGGGGCGCTTGTCATCCTTAAGCTCCATTAGTGATCAGTGTTTTCGAGTCAGCAACTTAAAAATAAATGTCTGTAAAGATTTAAAACACTATAAAAAGGTTTAAACAAACAGTCATATTATTGATTTTTATTTAATCATCAATTAATAAACCTCATCGTGACGTCTGCTTGTGTTGCGCACTTCGCAAACTACACAAGATTAATGCACATTAACGAGTTATTATTAATTAGTTAAAAATAAAAGCTGTTATTATAACTCTTGGACATTAATATAAATATTAAATCTTTAACTTTACACAGTGTTAATGTTAATTAATGGTCTGCGGCCTAGCTTCAGACACACTCAACAACCAGAGTGCGTACAGCTGTGGGTGTTAACCAACCTGCAAACACACACCCACACCTCAGATTATCGATTTATTCAAACTAACAACGAGCTCCACCGGTGCAGAATCAATATATCCGCTTATTGGAAACCGATTCGGGGTCGATACGGTTAGCTGCCGAGCCGTTAGCCGCGCAGCTAACAGTTAGCCGCGTTCACAAACAACCGAACATTAAAATAAATATCACAATAAAACTATTATTCCGATACACGCCAGCTCTGTTGCCATTGTGGTATCTTGGCAGCAGTGTATTTATGATGTAGAGTTGAAGAACACCGAGCTTACCTGACAACAACAACCCGATTCTGGTCAGCTAGCCCGGTTCTGCTCTTCTCTCAACCACCGCCCTTCACTTCCTGATCATACCGTTGGGTTCCGTACAGAACGTTCAGAGCAAACCAACTGAGGGAAATAGGGGGGGTCGGGAAGTATGAAATCATTATTTCGCGCTTGTGAAAACAATTAATGCGTTAAGTCGGTCTGAATGCTACAATGTAAGGGACGCTTTATCAAACTGTATTCGTAAACTGATTGTGTTTTATAAGTAGTAGTAATAAAATGTATAATTTACCTTCACACCCCCCCCCCCGGTGGAGTAAATGTAACTTCCACAAACGCTCCCTTGCCTGCGTTGACATTCCTGGATATGCCCTTATAAGGGAAGAAAGAATACGACGTCCTTTGCAATGTGCAATTTAAAGTAAAGTTTAAATGAAGGCCGTGGGAAAAATGAGCGTTACCACCAATAAAGCAGACATGTAGGGGAACTTATATGTACTATCAAATATATATGTTTATTTTTTTTGTTTGTTTGTTTTGTGGTTTTTGATAAATGATGACAATCAGGTGCAAATAATAGTTCACTCCAATGTTCCCAATTGAGCTGGGGTCATTTTGATGCCATTGTTGTTTGTAAAAATGCTTTTAAGCTGCCTTCTTAGACAGGTTTCTCTTTAAAAAGGAGATTTCAGCCTCAAAGACACTTTGTCCTGGTTAAATTAAGCGAAAGAAAAGACACATGAAAGGAATTTCATACACTAAAACCAAAACAATAAAGGGAAAAATGTTGATGGGATGGATAATTATAGATACTAGGTCAGACAACAGTTGGTACCCTGGTCGTTGCTGTAGGCTTACTGCTGCGGGGCTTCAAAAACAATGTGGAACTGTTGACTCACAGGTTAAAACAAGCCACATCTGTCTTTTTGTCCAGTTGTCATATCACTTTCAAAGTGCATAACAAAAATGGTTGAACATGTGCCAAGAGTTACTTATAGTTATGCTATACGTTGTAACCAAACAAGCCACCAGTCTAGAGCTCTATAGCCCTATAACTAGTGTTAATGATGGTTACAAAAGGAGTTAAATTATCGATAATGATCTGGTCTTTCAAAGGAGAGGACACAAACTAAACAATGTTTATTATTATGATATTATGATATGAATTCTGATATATTTATTATTAGTAAAGGACAAAGAAACACAGTAGATTTAACTCTGGGAACTTGGCACATTACGCCACCTTGTGTTGAGATTTAACTTTAACAACAAGCAAAATGTAATATGAGTGACTCACCATAGCAAGGCTGGAAAAGATCAAACTGTGTGATAAACCATAGTAGTTTAAACTTTCACCGAAAACCACACCAGTTTACATAATATAAGTAGACTTAAGCATTTAATGTCTGGGTTTAATAAAGCTAACTTTTCAAATGGACACAAGCAATTTCTTTCTCTGCTAATTTAAACTTTACCAGTTGATCTCTTTGTATTTATCTGTTTATTATATATTGTAGTGTCACCTTAAACCACTAGAGGGTGCTAGCTTCATAGAAAACCTTCATTGTACTCAGAGATATTATTATAGACTGTTTATTGAGGTCATTAGCAGTATGTTTCCACGCCTGTGTGTGAGTTCCTTTAATTTGTTCATATCTAGAAGTGTTAACTTTTATTCAATAGCTGCATTACATGGGAGCAATGCAAAGCAGCACATAAAAATAGACCTAATAGATCCCATGAGACGTCCATACAGTTGGAATTTCCTGGACAGCTGAGCTCAGTAACAAGCTGCGGATATGATTGTTTACAACCGTCTTCACTTAGAAATGGACAAAATGTTTGAAACATCTTTCACTATAATGCATCCGTGGCCTCAAAATGACCAGAGAGTTGAATCAACACCTCTCTGACAGCGTCAACAAAACTGAACGTGGGTTTACAGTTGCAGGGTGATTGTATTGGACAGCGATACACAAATGTATTCATTGAAATAAACCCAGTACTGAGTATAGTGTATAGGTTTTACTATTTCAGTTATAAGATGATAAAATTCAATGCTGACAAGAACTATTGTTAAAATAGATCTATGTGGCATGTGATGCTCTTTAAATACCAGAGGGTACAATGGGATGAAGTCATAGGTGATTGTGTTATCCTGTCCTGGGAAGATATGTGTTTTTTTCAGTGGAAGGTTTCAAGGAAAGGACTCTTCTATGTGAGCTGTGAGTGGCAGCTGTTTGGTAATTGGGACTTAAAGTGAGATTAGAGTGAAGTACAGGATGTTTGTAATGAAAGCCACAGAGAGACGGTCAGTCTAGGGCTGCGCGATATGGTAAAAACATCATAATGTGGTTATTTCGACAGATATTGCGATTGATTTTTGCATTGCAAATGTAATTTTCACCTCAAAAAAAATATTAAAATCACGATGATGTGAAATTTCTGCGGAGCTGTACGAAACAAATCCTAAATCTGGAGAACAAAATTTGCAAGCTAGGGCATTTCTGCAGCATTACAGTAATTTATTTAAATGACATTTAATTTTGTCACATATTTTATGCTTATCTGTGATTTGCATATTGCACATGGCCATATTGTAAATTTGATAATATTTCAATTAATTGTGCATCCCTTTAGTCATATTCACTAATCCTGGATGTTATTTTACCTTTAGGTGCCTGACAGGGTACTAATACATAGACTTTATAATATAAATATATATATTTTACATAATGTCCTGATAAGATCACACAATACAACAGGCTCAGTGGACAAAGTCACACTTTAACTTGCTTTGTTAAGTTTTTATTAACATAGGATAATAATAATAGATGTTTTAGGGAAATACAAACTTGTAGAGATTAACACTAGAAGATCATGTATATACGTTAATATGAAGCCATTTGCTTAGCTTAGCATAGCAACTGAAAACAGTTGGTTTGACTCTGTTCAAAAGTAACAAATTCAGTCTAGCAATGCTATTAAAGCTCCTTATTAACATTTTATATCTTGTTTGTTTAATCCGTACATAAAAGTGATGTGTACGTTGTGGTTTTACTGGGAGTTTAACTCCAGGGAGTATCTGCACACAGCCACGAAATGCAGTGTGAGCTGTTGTTTGTATAACTTAAACAAACAAGATGTAACATGTTAATAGTGAATTTTATGCTGAAAAAAATCTAGACTTCTGCACCTCCTCTTGGCCCTGTTATCAGGCTTCAGACAACCTAGCCAGTGGCAGGAGACGCTGGCCAATCACAGATCATTTGAGAAAGAGAGGGCATTCCTATTGGCTGTTCTACAAATGCAGATGCTCGTGCATTTCCCTTCAGATGTTGAAAGCCCGATTCAGTGGTGGAAAATTCAGCAGTACCTCCTTTGCCTACATCAGCGTATAGTACAAAACATGTCCCGGCTCCACAGGGAGCTTCGGGCTCATTACGTTTAATGCCATGGCGCTCGTATGGATGGGTGGCAAAGAGGCATGATGACAAACAGTTGGGAATCACTTTTGAGGGGAACAGGGACGTGTTTATGTGTGTGTGTGTGTGTGTGTGTGTGTGTGTGTGTGTGTGTGTGTGTGTGTGTGTGTGTGGTGTACTAGCCATGCAGCTTTCACTGGCACAAAGCTGAGAATGTCTCTTAGAAGTTTTGACTTTCTTAGAAGTCAGTGTGACGAGGAATCAGATCCTCTTCTGTTTCTTGCTCCTCACCACCAAAGCAGAGTGTTGCTGAGGCAGTCAAAAAGGAAGTCTGGACCATCCACTAATCCTAACCCTGCTGTTGCCTCTGACTCTGAGGCCTGGCATGCTGGGGTATCTTTGAGAAGCAGATCCTAATTACCACCTGTAAATTCGTATTTACCGTATAAACATGAAGATTGGTATCAACATTCTCGTCTAATTTCTTGCAAGAAATCAAATCAAATCAAATTCCCAAATCATTAAACTATTTCTTTGAGTACAAATACAATCCAAATGGACTCGAATTACAGCATTTAAGACTTGAGAGTCAACCGGACACTCCAGCAACTGATTGTAAGAAGCTGTTTGGTTCAAGTCAGTCATGTTGGCAAATGATTTAGTGGCATATAATAAATGTAAAATATATCCCATATTCATTAGACAGCATTCAGTGTTGTGACCCTGCTTAATGTCTTGTATTGTTCTCCTCAGCGTTGATCTCTTTTAATGGGTTTACACTTGAGATCGCTGCCATAACTTTTTAGGTATGTTGCCATGCTGACCGTTGTGTCATGAGGGACAGTGGTGGGTGAGGGCCAAAAAGGGCATACGTTCAAAGGCCTCAAAGGTCTTCATTGACATATGTTTGACATGGAAACTCACCAGGTGTTTGTGTTGCAGTCAATTTCCAGAACAATGTCCAAACTTCTGTGGCAGCCAAATTAAATCTACCTGCCAAATGACCTTTAACAAACTGTATTTAATTAGAAAAGTATTTTCTTTTCATGATAACTTTTGGAAACCCGTGTTTATGAGTCATACAGACAAACTTAAGTGGGAATTAAGAACCTGCCACTGGATTCTGAGTTCTTGATTTATTATATGTTTTCTCTTTTAGTAGCTGTTTATGACCTAGGGGGACGAGGGGGGACATTTGTGTACTTCCACAAATGAGAGTGAGACCAAAGGAGAGAGTGACAAAGACACATTTACTGGCATTTGTTGAATGTGAAGCAAGTAACAATAGCTTAGCTAAAGTTAGCAACGGCCACAGCTGAGACTGTGATGAAAAGTCAAGATAAATAAAAGCTGATGGAGGTTAACCAGCGATGGCATATACTGTCGGCAAAAGGCCAGCACGACCTTCTTGTTTGTAACGGACTTAAAAAATTAAATAAAATATGAGATTGTAAAATGAAGCTTGTCACGTGGGAATTCTGGGAATCACTGAGCCTCAGGCAAAAGTTGGACTGTGACATTGATTGTAGTATTGAAGTATGTACACTTTGTTACATGAATAACTGATCAACTTTACTTCTGTAGAGTAACAAAATAGCAAACAAACAAGCAAAAGTATCAACAAAAACACATACTTACATACATTCCCTCAAAAATACAATTCATACAAGGGGCTTACATTTCATAAATGTAAAACATGTATAA